AAAGTACCTCCTCCTCCTGTGTAAGGAAGATGACAAGGGTTAATGGGGTTCCGTAGAGGCTTAAAATGCTGTTTCGTACAGAGCTCACAACTTGATTTCAACACTGAAAAGGGACATTTAACTGATCAATTGTAAGCCGTTTATTTATTTTATTTGAAAAAAGCAATTTATATGAATAAGAAAGTTAAGTACCTTTTTATTTGGTTAAAATGTAAGTTAATTGCAAAAACGGAGCTAATTGTGGTTATTTAGAATTAGGCTCACACAAGAAATGTCTTGAATGAGAGGAAACTTTATATAATAATATCGAGAGGTCCCTGTTAGTTTGACAGATGACCCACAGCTGATTGACGGAGCCTAAAATAGAAAGAGAAACAAGCCCATCCGATTACAGTATTCCTTCACCCTGCGTATGGTCCTCTCAACTACAATTCAAAGACGGCCAATATCCTGGGTCTTCTGGGTGTCCTTAAAGCTGAACTGATTAGATTTCTTCAGTGCTGCTCCCACCTCTGACTGTCACAGAGCCAGTGGCTGCGTTCGAAACCGCATACTTCCATACTATATAGTAGGCAAAAAGCAGTAGGCGAAGAATAAGTATGTCCGAATCCTTAGTATTCATAAAAGAGTAGGCGAGAATTACCTGCATGGTGCACTAATTCTCGCAAGATTCGAACGTGCGTATACTTAAGTTGCATTCGAATATGCCTATTTATCTACTATATAGTAGGAGAAAAGAGTATGTTAAGAAAGAAGTACGTTCGAAACTGCAGTATTCATAAAAGAGTAGGCAAGAATTACCTGCATGGTGCACTAATTCTCGCGAGATTCGAACGTACGTATACTTAAGTTGCATTCGAATATGCCTACTTATCTACTATATAGTAGGAGAAAAGAGTATGTGAAGAAAGAAGTACGTTCGAAACCGCAGTATTCATAAAAGAGTAGGCGAGAAATCCCCGGATGTCCAGATTCTGAAGTGCACATCCGATGGACACTTTTCTATCCCAGAAGCCCACGGGAGAGGATCATCATCGTCATCATCGAACGTGATGTTGAACAGCGACGAGGGTGTTTACAAATGTGAGTATTAGAAACCAGAAACACGGATCCTTGTGTTAAAATCTAATTTGTTCAGCTACTGTACAGTAAACTGTTGAATTGTTGAAGACACTAATTTTGCTGTAAAAACACGTTTTATTATGTATAGCTAACAGCAGATCTCCTGTAAGCACACGTACGTCTCCAAAATGAATTTACATAAACCATATACATCTTAAAGACGATTACTAAATGTCTACAGTATTTAACATCTGACAAGAAAATCGTTGACAACTATTACAGGTGAGCACATCACAGCATGAAACAGAAATATGAATGAGTTGAATGGTTTAAAAAGACTTAAAAAGATGTGCAAATGATACAGTTTTGTGATGGTGCAACAGTGGCCTGATTAGGTTTCGGATAAGTCCCATAACACGAGCGGAAGTCTCATATCGCAGCGTGCAGCGGCTGTCTTGTAGTGCAGGCGAGATGCGCTGATGTGAACCTGTTTTGAGGGTGAAAGAGAGAAGACGAGATACCGCTAAATCACTCATGCTGTTTTAATATGACTGATTCGATCTGATATTCTGTGTGGATTCATGTACATCAGGGATGGGCAACTGGCGGCCCGCAGTGTCTTTTAGTACGGCCCGCTGGATCATATTAGACTCGGATGATCAATTTTAAAACATTTGAAAAGCAAGTCACGTAAAGATTGCTTTCAGTTTATGATGTTAATACTATCTCCAACCAGGAGAGGTCGCTAGTTTCCAGCCGCTCCCTGTATTAATTTCAGCGTAGTAGGACGTGCACTCTAATGTAAACATTCACTAACATTAGCAAATAATAAATGAAAACAGACCATGAAAACAGTATTTTCCAGTCAAGATGGTAAGCAGATTATCTTTTTACCAAGTTCAAGGGGATACCCATATGTTTGTAAATCTGTATTTTATTTAAATCGCCATCACACCACTGCTCGCAAACAACGGGGACGCCGGAGTTGCACTTGCCTCAAATTTCAAAGGTAAAATTCATAGTCAACAAAAGCTTTTTGCCAAATGCATGACAGAAATGTATATGCACTGACTGAATTATGTTCTTATAATATCACTAGTCCTGTTTATGGTACTATTTGGAATAATTATTATTATTCTTTTTAATAAGCACTTTTTAACTGTCCTCAGGTTGTGTTGTGAATGTTCTGTAGGCTACTAATCAAAAACAGGATCTCCACATT